TCAGTGACTTACACTCTGATTGGTTGTACAGGTTGTTAAAGGTTTTTGCTATTATTTTATTGAGACAGGGTCTCACTAGGTAGTGAAAGTTGGCCTTGAATTTGCTTATGTATCCCAGGCTGGCCTCGAACTCATGGAGATCCTGCCTCAGCCTCCTGAGTACTGGGATTACAGGCATGCGCCACCACACTCAGCTGTTTACTATCACTTTTGTGTTTTGTTTTGTTGTTTGAGACAGGGTTTTGGTGTATAGTTCAGGCTGGCCTTGAACTCGATCTTCCTGCCTCAGCCTCATCGGTGCTGGGATTACAGGAGTGCATTACCATGCCCAGCTAGAAACTCTCACTGGGGTTAGTTAGACAAAGCTAGATGGAAGACATGAGTATCAGGACAGATTTTAAAGGAAACAGACAGCATTGGTAGAGGTGTGGGATAGTACAAGGACAAAAGTCCACAGGGTTGTAAGACCCAAGAAATGAGAAGAAAGAAGGCTGGTCATGGCAAAGGGGCCATGGGATGGGACAGATGGAGGCACTGGAACTGGGGGAGGGAGGCTACGGGCCCCGGGATGGGAAAATTGGAACGGAGATGAGGGGAGTGTTAGGTTCTTTATTCTGCACCTAAGTTTGGGCATTTGAGTTTTGTTAAGGTTGTTTTGATGGCTGGAAGCTGGACTTTCTTCATTCCTTCAGTGTGTATGTATTAGTGCCTGCTCTGTACCAGGTGCCATTTGAGGCACTGGGAAGACAGCAGAAACAAAATATGGACCTTACCCTTGTGTGGCTGGCATTCTAATGAGGGAGAGAGATAATAAGCATAAACATAAAATCATCTATGGGAATGTAACATGGTAGACCACTCTACAAAAGACTTTGGCATTTTCTTTTCTTTTCTTCTTTTTTTTTTGGTACTAGAAATTGAACTCAGGACCTTGCGCTTGCCAGGCAGGTGCTTAGGCATTTTCTTAATAAACTAAACATACCCTTACTATTTGACCCAGGAATCATACCCTTGAGTATTTATCTCAGAGAAATGAAAACTTATGTTCACGAAAAACCTGCACACAAACGTTTACAGCAGCTTTATTTATAATAGCCCCAAACTAGAAGAAACCCAGGTGTCTTTCAATGGGTAGATAATTAAACAGAATGAAATCTATCCATGACATGGAATACTAGTCTGGAAATAAAAGCAACAAAATATTGATACACACAAGTTGGATGAATCTCAAGGGCATTATGCTGAGTGAAAAAAGCCAATCTCCCAACATGTTCTTTCATTTATATAATATTCTTGAAATGATAATTACAGAAATGAATAACAGATTAGTGGTTAACAAGGATTTGGGCTGGAAGTGGAGAAAATGGGTCTGGCTATAAGAGCACAATGTAAGGGACTTTTTGTAATAAGCTTTTCCAATTTGTAATAGATAAATCTTGGAAATAGCCCACATGCCTATCAAGTGATGAATGGGTAAAGATTTTTTTTTAATATACAATGGAGTAGAACTCAGCCATAAAGAAGGATAAACTTGAAACGTTTCTAGGTAAATGGATGCACCTTGAGAACATACTCTCAAGTGAAATAATTTGGACATATGTGTGTAAATATCACATTGTTTCTCTGGTGTGGGAAAGCAAAAGCATAAATAAGGACTGAAGTGTATAACAGATATTGAAAAATAGGAAGAAAATGTTCAAATGGGAAGGGGAACAGGGAGGGGAGAAGGGGAAAGGAAGGAAGGGAAAAGAAAATGAAGAATAGAAGGGAAAAACAGAAATAAAGCTTTTATAAATAAGGAGGGGAAGAGGGGCTGAAGGGTGGCCAGGGGGTTGGGGAAAAAAGAAGAGTCAAGATATATCACGTACAGGTACAAATTCTCTGTGATGAGTGTGATCATTATGGATACCTAAAATGTACCCATGAAATTAATTTAAGGAAAGAACTGAGTAAAATGATGAAAAGAAACCCTTTTCCAGTATCTTGATTGTGTTGGTAGATGCATACACTCACAGGTGGTAAATTCATATTGAGCTGTGCACACGCATTCCATCAGTGTGATTCCCTGAGTTTGATATTGTACTACAGTTACGGAAGATGTAAATATTAGAAACAGCAGGGGAAAGGGGACACAGAATATCTAGCTTTGCAAGTTCCTGTAATTATTTTAAAAGAAAAGTTAAAAATATAGTATTTCAGCTTTGATGACAAATGAAACACTATCAGGAGATAATGACAGGTAGACAATATGTTTGCAGTACTGGGGGTTGAACCCAGGGTCTTTGCATTGAGTTATATCTCCAGTTCTTTTTTATTTTGAGATAGGATCTTACTAAGTTGCTAAATTGCCCAGAGTGGGCTCAAATTTGTGATCCTGCCGCATCAGCTTCCCAGAGTGCTGGTTTTACAGGTGTGTGCCATCACGCCTGGCTCATGTAGATACTAACTTACAAAGGGTAGTCAGGCTGGGTTTAAAACACAATGTGGGCCAGGCATGGTGGCGCATGCCTGCAATCCCAGCACTCGAGAGGGTGAGGTAGGAGGATTGCTGCGAGCTCTAGGCCAGCCTGGGCTACGTGAGCTCAAAGCCAGCCTGAACTGCATAGCGAGACTGGTGTATCTAATGGTTTATTGAAAGGAATAGTTAATGCTTAATTTTTTGACTAATTTTGCATGCTTGTAATTGGTAATCTGACCAACTACTTTGAAGACAACAATATGCACTATTACAACCACTGGTGAATTCCTACCATTTTGTCTAGTGAAACTTTGTATCATTTCTAATGTTTCTTTTTGTTTTTATTTTTTATTCTTTCTCTCTCTTTTTTTTTTGTCTTATTTTTTGAGACAGGGTCTCAGTATACAGTTCAGGCTGGCCTTGAGTTCACTTTGTAGCCCAGGCTGGTCTTGAACTCACAATGATCTTTGTGCCTCAGCCTCCCGAGTGCTGGGATTACAGGCATTCACCACTCCTGGCTTTTTATTCTCTTTAATGATTTGATCAATCTTGCCTTCTTACATCTGGTAATTAGAGCAACTTTGTTGAAGATAACAATATGTAATATAACAACCACTGTTAATTCCTATCATTTTGTTGTGAAACCCTGTATCATTTTTGTTTTTGTTTTGTTTTGTTTTTGTCTACGTTGTTGGTGTTTTGCTATTGTTCTTTTTGAATTATTATTATTCCCTTCAAAATAAAAAAGACAAAAAAAAAAAAAGAAAAAAGAAAACGCAATGTGTCTCTGATCAGAGCAATAAATTCTAAACATATAAAAGCATGTTTTGGGGGAGAAGTAGTGGACATTTACCAGAAAGGAGAGTTCCCATTGCCGCTAGGCAACTGCACATGCGCAGTAGGGTGAGGAAGGGACTACTCACACACTCATGAAGGGCCAGGGCTTGTGTGCTCAGAGCCGTGACTAAGCAAGGCCTATCTGCCTGAGGTGTTGCATGTGTGAGTGTATAAGTGCATGTGTATGTGTGAGAGAATGTGTATGTGCAAGAATATGTATGTGCAAGTGTGTGCGGGTGGCACATGTGTGAGTATTCACGGTATTTATGTGTACATTGTGTACATTTTATATAAGTGTGTATCTGTGTGAGTGTATATGAGGATATGTGAACACATATGTATACACAGGAGAATATTGGGTGAGTAGATGTAGTAGTGCATATGTGCGAGTGTGTATAACATTCACACGGACTTACATGAGTGTTGAGGGCCATGGGGTGGGGTATTTAGTGCTGAGCTTGATTTGAGCCCCATCCCCCTGACTTGTAGGCCCAGGATCTGTGCTTGTGAGCCATCTCTGTCTCTGCATGGACATTGTCTCTCTCAGAAGGACAAAATTTTTCCTTCTCTTTAAGTTTGGGAAATCCTACCCGTTCCTCAAGGTCCAGCTCAGGCGCAGCCTCCTCCTGGGACGGGGTTTCAGTGTGGGGTAAAAGGAAGTGTTGTGGGCACTGGGAAGGGACAGGTGGGCTGGAGGCGTAGTGAGGGCTGTGAGTTTTGCACATGATGCGTGTTTAGGTTTGTACATCCAGTTCAGATGGCTATAAGGATTACCTTAGCAACAAACACTAGCTTTTCTGAATCTAACACTTGAGGAGAGGGCGGGCCCTGAAGATTTTCTTCCTCCTTCCCTCCTTCTTCCCTTCTTTCTTTCCTTCCTTGTTCTGGGGTTCAACCCCCACCCACCCTCTCCGGGCCTTGTTTTGAGAAAGGATAGTGCTATGTTGCCCTAACTGACCTTGAACTGCTGGGCTCAAGTGTCCTCCTGCCTCAGGCTCCCAAGTAGCTGGGACTACAGGCATGCACCACTGCCTCTGGCTCAAGAGAATTTTACTTGTAATAAGTAGTCATCTTGGCTGTTAAGATCAGTCACATTTAGGAAACACTGTTCTACTTTGAACCTCTTAATTTAAAAAATTAGAGATGAAGAAACAGGTTGAGAAAAGGCAACTGGCTCGCCCAAGGTCCCATAGCTAGTTAGTGACTACTGGTTTAGAGATGAATCTGTTTGTCCAGTTTTACATCCCAGCTACTTTATGTGGAATTCCTCACATACAGTGTTGTGTCTCATACATTGTAGGCCACTTAGTACATACCTGTATGAAAGAACAAGATTAACATCCACCATCGGCCAGGACTTTGTGGGAGCTGGACATTACCCGGTAGGAAAATTCAGTAGGGTACAGAAAAAAGAGGTGGAAGGTAGATGTGAAACTGAGGCAGTGGGCAGTTTAAGTTGGAAGAGCAAGAAGCACGGCACAGAACACAGCACTGCACAGGGCTTCAGGCTCCTCAGCCTTGGATGTGAAAGTGGACACGGTACTCAGAAGGTATTCTTCAAGTTCTCTCCTAAATCCTTATCTCACGTGTCCGTCCTAGTCCTGACACACCACCCCGCTCGGCCCTTTCCATGCTTTTGCTTTCTGATATGGGATCACCTCTTCTAAGTCAGGAGGGAGGGCAGATGGCGAGGAGGCTCACTCACCTGATGAGTGTGCAGAACTGTAAGAACGATGAATTCCTTAGCGCTCCTACAGAGAAAAGAGGGAACAGGAGAGCAGTGTATCATGCACTAGGCATTCGTCTAATACTAGAAGCAACACCAGAATTTCCCCCTGGGTTGCACTGAGGTGTATGGACTAGAACAGAGGCCAGTCTGTGTGTCTGCATGGATGTCTCGCCTCACATTTGTGGAGGGTGAAGCAAACCATCCACATCGATTTACGCAGGCATCGAAGATGGAATCACCATTACCTCTGGGGTTGTCATTTTTCAGGTCTGCTTATGTATTCCTTTTTACATCTTTCTGTAGAAATCCCCAAACCTTAGGAGCAATTTTATCTGTAGACTAGAAAATTCTCGAGGAAAACAAGACCTGAATTACGGAACTCAAAGGGCGTACAGCCAGAGGGTCCTGGGAGCCATGTATGATGGTTACTGGCAATTCTGGCATTTAAGCAAGAGAAGACTCTTAAAGGAAAAACCCCAAGGAAGTCATTTGGTTACCATGGTCATACTCAGCAGATTTGTTTCAACTGAGGGTCCAAAAATGAGAGCCATGGAGGAGGAGGTGGAAACCAGGACTCTCCAGATGACAAATATTCAAAAGGGCGAAGAGTTTGAAACTCTTCTCACAAGAATTGTACTGGCGCCAAGGAGGCTGGGAAGTGTGGAAGTTCACCTTCAGGAATACATAATCATGTAAAAGAACTAAAGAAAACAAAAGCAGTTTGCCTGAGGAGCTTCCCTTTGCCTGGTTGGCCTTTTTCAAATGTTTATTGGAACAAAGGCATTTAAGAAGTAGAGTCAGGGGGCTGGGGATTTAGCTCAGCGGCAAAAGCGCCTGCCTGGCAAGCGCAAGGTCGTGAGTTCGGTTCCCGGTACCGGAGAAAAACCAAAAAAAAAAAAAAAAAAAAAAAAAAAAGTAGAGTCAAATGCTCTTGGTTCTGGGTATTCGGGAAATAACTGGGCCCCCTGATTAAGGACTTTGAACATTTCCCCTATTTGGTGAGGCAAAGCCCAGGCATGGACAAGCTGCAAGGTTTGGGAAATTCCCAAGAGAAGCAAAGAGTTGTGTCATAGGAAAACTACAAAGGGAAACCCTTTATCTGGAACAGGGACAGAGCACAGCATAAATCACATGGCTCATCTCCTCCAGCCCTTGCACTATCTCCCCATCCCATTTAGAAGAAAGCCATATCCTTACAAAGGCTTACAAGGCTCTCCATAGTTTGGACCTATCTTCCACACCACCCCCCTAACTAACACCAGCCCCACTGGCTTCTCCCCTGTTGCCCAGTCAGGCCAGACACACTGCTGCCCTAGGACATCTTCTCTCTCCAACACCCTCACCTCTTTCCAGTCTTTCTTCAGATACCACCTTCTCTATGAGGCCAACACTGCCTATGCTGTTTAAAGTTGCACTCTGCATCCCTGTGCTCGGCACTCCTGATCCTCTTTATACAGATCTACTTCTATTCTTCAATAACATTTATTGACTTCTGAGATGTGGCACAATTATTTACTCATTATGTTCACTGCTTATGATGTATCTCCTTTTATTAGAATGTAAATTCCAACAGCCAGGACTTTTGTCTCATCCACTGCTGCATTTTCAGTGCCTAGAATGGTGCCTGGTGCAGGGTAGACACTCAATAACAATTACCGATTGAATGAATGAGTGACTCACTGGCCCCGAAGGTTACTAAGTGAGCTCTATTTTGAGTAACAAGGAGCTCTGAACTTCCTCACAAAATCAGGCTATGTTGTTTAGTGTGCAAAGCTGTCCACTAGAAGCAGAGCAGTGACTTCTTTGAGGTCAGGCTGAAGGAACCCTGACATGCCCTGATGGGGTTAACTTACCCCATGTTGGTGTGGAGGTGGAGGGTGGAAGGTGCAGTGCAGAGAGTAAAGAGTAGGGGGACATAATGAACAACTGAACTGGGAGAAGAGGCAAATAAAGGTCATCAGGGATTATTTTTGTTTGTGGCTTTGTATTATTATTATTGTTATTATTTTGGTGATGCTGAGGATTGACCCCAGGACTTCATGCATGCTAGGCAAGTGTTCTACCACACTGCAGGTTATCAGGGACGAGATACATTGTGAAGTACTGAGCTAGAGGGGCGCATGCCAAGAAAGACCTGCTCTGGGCTTCAGGACAGAGCTCTGTAAACCCATTGGGAGTGGATGAGAAGGTGCTGTACCACATATAGAATGTGAGGTCTGCCTTTGAAAGCCAGGGAGTGACTTTGGGGCTGGATGGGCTTTTAGGAATCCTGGGAAGATGAATAAAATGAAAATACTTTGAGCCAAGAGGGGTTGAAGGAGTTGGAACCAGACTGCACAAGTAAGCAAGGGAGAGGAAGAGAGAAAGAACATGGTTCCATTCGTATATCGCCAGCACAGGATGTGGTTCTGCATGGAGGGAGAGAGCAGCTGAGATCCCCCAAATGGAGGTAGTCCATGCAAGGAAGTCTTCAAAACTACAGAAGGGCGTGTGCATGTGGCATGTGTTTGGGGGAGGGGAGGGTATACGGTGTGTGCACATGTGTGTGTGTAAGAGATGGGCAAAGATCCCCCATTCATGGGTGGTGGTGGATGCCCCACATTCCTTTTCTCTCTCACCTGTTCCCATCCAGGGAGGACATCAAAGCATCACTAGTACCGTGGGCACAACCCACAGTGGCAGGTGCCCTTCCTCAATTCACTGGGCAGGGACCCTGATTTTGTTTTCCTTATGTGTGCATGATTTTGGGGGGGAAATAGGAGGTGGAAGCAATAGTTTGTTTGCACTATGTTTATATTAGAGGGATTTTTAGTAGCTTGATTCTCATTGATCACTTGATCGATCTCTAAAACAAAGGGGCAAGTGAGGAGACGAATTCGGGCGGGATGGAGGCGAGGCTGTAGCAGAAAGCTGGTTGTGTGTACTCATACCACTGGAGCAGGCTAGGCCCTACGTGTGAGGCCTTGGGGTGGCCCTGACTGACCGGCCCCTGAAGCTCTGGGTAGCTAGGAGCCATGGCTACGCCCGCTCTGCCTGAGAGAGCTCCTCTCCCAGGGCCAGGGAGCATAGTGGTAGTCCTAATGCCACGGGTGGGGCAGGGGTAGGGACACTGCTCAGCTACTGCCAAGGCCCCAGAAGGCCCTATTACCTGATGAGTTCTATGCACCTCTCCCTGGGGGCTTCACTCACGTCCTCCTCATTAATAGCCACAATCTGGTCACCAGCCAGGAGCTTGTCCTCAGAGGGGCCTCCTGCAGAGGAGAGGAGAGAGGCATGAAAGCTTAGAGCTACTGCCAGGTAAGTGCAAGTCCGGGCAAGAGCCCCAGTGCCTGAGGGAGCCAAGCTGAGGCCAGCCGGAGACGCAGGCTGAGGAAGGTGGCGGAAGGGGTGTTATTTCCAGCTGCTGCCTGCCGCCTATGGCAGAGGGAGGGCAGTAGAATGAAGAAAGAGAGAGGCATGGATCTCCTTTAGCGGCATGTACTGTGGTAGCAAAAGGCCCCAAGCCCAGACCTCGTATTCAGATGACAGTAGTGTTTTACTGGCTTGGCTCTAAAGAGGAACACAGACTTCCATTTTATAGGAAGGATTTGCTTAGGTACAAGGAATGACTTTCAGACTGCCGGAGGTGGCACAGGTGATAAGAGCAAGGGCAGGAATCTTGTAGCTTGAGTATGATTTATACTTACTGGTCTGGGAAGGTCTAGGCATTCACTTGCTTGGAGACAGGAATAAGGACTAAAAGACCTAAAGGGTTTAATTTTGTTTAACACTGAGTGATGCTGCTCTCCAATAAACGAGGGGAGCAATGCACAGGCTCTTGGGCAGCTGGAAATTTGCTTTCTTCTTTTCCCGTCCCTACAGCTGAAGTTAAGAAAGCGGATGTGTCTGAGGGCCACATTTTTCCTTCGGATGAAGGGTCTCCCAAAGCTGTGCTGCCTCTGCTGCTCGGCAAAGATCTTTTCGGAGAAAAGTGTTTTTTCAGAGACTCAGAGGGAATGAGAAGTCAGGTCCAGCCTGACTCAAACCTGAAAGAAATGTTTTTTTTTTTTTTTTTTTTTTT